TATAGCGAAGGAAATTAAAGGGAAAGAATCCCTTCTCCCTCAATTTTAGAGCTCCATCCAAAGTCATTTAAAAAATACAAGGGGCTTCAAAGAGTTCATGGAAATTTCACTATCTTTTAGTTCTCTTTTCACATGCTATTCGATAGTCTCTTATGTTTCATGAATCATATCTTTAACAGAGGGCTCTATTGAGAATCTTGTTGAGCACATATTTAAACAAAGGAACAACTTGTGTCTTGTGTGTTCTTTCCAAAAATATTTATTGAATCCTGAGTTTGTGCAAAATAGTGAATACAGTTAGGGAGTCCAGGGATAAATACAGCATGTTCTTTATAAGCTGAATTATAGAATCAAATTGTTGGTGAGGAAGCGGAAAACCCTACCTTGTTAGTCTCAATCCTCACATTATGTGTGTAGTTGTTGAGTTAGGAGCTATGGGATTGAAATTCATAGCACTTCCTTGTGACAGAACTGCCCATAGGGTTTTCTTGGCTCTTATCTTCCTGGAAGCAGATCACCAGGTCTTCCTTTCTCAGAGCAGCTGGACGGGTTCAAATGTGCAACCTTTGGCATGCAGCCAGGCACTTAGCTGTGTGCACTATCTGTAGCCACACACAGCTATTCAGTGTGGACACTGCACTCCTTCAGGTTTGTGTGCCTTTGCACACTTATGTTCCTTCTACCTATTGTACCTTTCTGTGCGCTTTCTATGTATTATTCTTTATTCCTTTTCTTCATTCTTAGAACTTGATTACCTATTTTAATTCCCTGCTCACTTTCTTTTTCTAATGTGTGTTTGTTGTTATGTGCCAGTAAGTAATTTCAAACTCATGGTGGCCCTATGTACAACAGAAGAAAATAATACCTGGCCCTGCATCATCCTCAGAATTGTTCTTATGTTTGAACCCATTGTGGCAGCCACTACATCAATCCATCTTGTCAAGGGCCAAGCTTCCCCTCTACTTTACCAAGCTGATGTCCTTCCGCAAGGACTATTCTCTCATTATAACACATCCAAAGTATGTAAGACAAAGTCTCGCCATCCTTGCCTCAAGCATCTGCCTATACTTCTTCCAAGACAGATTAAATTTGTTCTGACGTCCAAGATTTTCCACCAGTACCATAATTCAATGCAGCAATTCCTTTCAGTCTTCCTTATTCAGTGTCCGACTTTCACACGCATCGAAAGTGATTAAAGACATCATGGCTTGAGCCAGGTGTCTTTTAGGCCTCAAAATAAAATCCTTGCTTTTCAACACGTAAAAGAGGTCTTATGCAGAAATTTTACTCTGTGCAGTGCATCATATGATCTCCTGATTGCTGCTTCCATGAGCATTGATTGTGGAATAAAGCAAGTTGTGAAATCCTTCACAATTGCAGCCATTTATCATGTTATGACCTATTAGTTCAGTTGTGAGGATTTTGGTTTTCTTTATATTGAGTTGTAATCTATACCGAAAGCTGTTAATCATTTATTAAATGTTTGTTAGTTAGGTGGTCAGGATGAAATTGAAGGAAGAGATAGTTCTAGCTGTTATGTAAGGTAATATGTAATGAATTCTATAAAAGTAGTATAAATAAACAAGTGCTGTAGAGGTATAGAGGAAGAATCAGATTGTATATGATTTCGTGTAACTGTTGTTACTACGTGTTGAATCTATCCCAACTCATGGTGACTTCTTGTATAACAGAATGAAATATTGTCGGGTCCTACACCATCTTCATAATCATTGGTGTGATCAAGCTTGTTGTTGAGGCCACTGTGTGCTTTGGGTGACTTCTAACCGAGACTGCTCCTCTTCCAGTACTATATCAGACCATATTCCGGTGAGATCTATAGGGTTTTCATCACTGGCTTAAATACCAAATTACTTAACCAGGCCTTTCTTCCTACTCAATCTTAGTTTGGAAACTGTGCTTAAACTTGTTCACTGTGGATAATTCTGCTTGGTATTTGAAATACCAGTGATACAGCTTTCCGTATCTCAGCACACAAATCACTCCAACTTGACAAACTGATAGACTGGTGGTATAGTTTAGGAGGGGTTACATAGAAGATGTAATGTTTAAAGATGCCCTTGGAGAATAATGTGTTATTTTGAGATAGGTAAACTAACTCCAGCGAACATACTTGGAAAAGAATATAACCAAAGTAGTAGGCAGGAAGGAGCAAGATGTGTTTGGGTATCTAGGAATGTTATTCTTTGGTTGAAATATAACTTATTTTAAGGGGTGATATAAAGCTAGAAAGGTCTTACAGGTATGCATTGCTTAACATCCATGATACATTCAGTGAAATAGGATGTAATTTCGATTTGACTGTTAAATGTAAATACCATATTCTGTACAGGCAGTCCCTATACAATCTGTAAAGTCAAGTCCTTGTAAAGCCTCTTACATTAAAATCTTGGGGGATCCTGCTGGATTAAGCTGGCCTTGCTGAATGTGCAGCTAGGTCTAGTGAGGACTTTTCTAATGTCTGGACACAGGTGGTAGGAGTGGAGAGGTGGTGCATAAACTGGGCAGAGAGTAGTTGGCAGAGTTAGGTGTGAAGGTGGCAGTGGCATCCTTAAATACCGTGTCCATATTGGTGTGACCACTTTCTGATCATGTGCAGCTGCTACCATCACTGCTGCCTGAAGATGGGAGCCCAAGAATGCCCAAGTATGTCTGGGAGTGAAAGTCTGTATGGCTATTGGACAGGTGAATGGAGCCAACACGAAGCCCTTCTGCTTGTTCACACTAGGGATTTGAGGTCTTTAAAACGATTAGGAGAAAGAATAAACAATTTTTTAAAGCCCACTCATCTACCAAAGCAGCCTACCAATGGAATCTACTCAGGAGCTTATCAAAGGCATTCTTTTTGATATTTTGCGGGTTTGTTTATAGCATTTCTGTTTATTTTCCTTTCAGGCAACCCAGTTGTTCGTGCATGTTTTTCACTTTTTTGGTAGATTTTTTAAACACATGAACTAGAGTAGCCTTAATGCCTTTTTTAGATGAGTTCAACATTTGAGTCATCTCTAATCTGATTCTATAATTGTTTTGTATCTGTCAGTGGGTTGTTTATTCTTTTCTCTCATGATTTGTTATTGAATGCTAGACATCACATGTAGATAAACAATTAAATCTGAGATGAATAAAATTTAAACCCAGAAATTAACTCACCCCTTTTTCTGATGTCATAAATTAACATACTGCCACCAACAACAATAATGAATGGTTTTGTCATTCTGGTCAGGAAGTTGAACTTGGGATTTCCCTTGTGCTGCTGTTAGCCTGTGTTCTTGCTAGGAACTGGACTGCCAGAGCAGTGTTTTCTCAGTGTTTCTCAGCGTTCCTGTTCCATTCTCCGTTTTCAATTGTCCTAGCTTGCCTGTGCTATCTGGAGAGGCTGTTCAGGTCTCCTGTCTTGCTCCCAATTTGTCCTGTGACATTCAGGGGCAGACCAAGGATAAAATAACTTGACTCCACTTCTTTTTGAAGCTCCCAGTTAGACTAACCTTGTATAGTAGCTCATGCTAGGGCCCGTTAAAAGTTTAGCTGATATCTTAATCACTTGTATGGTGGTCACTTTTTTCCATTGTCTACAAAAAATGGAAGTTTATGTAGTCTGCCCCTCTGGGGGCACTTGTCACTCTTCTGATTAATGTTCCTTTGATTGTCTTGCATTCTCAGTTCTCTGGTGAGCTGAAGAAGTTATAATTACATAGATTAGCTGGCTTGCGGCTTTCTAGATTCTAATCAAAAGTGGAATATGTATCGCTGTCCTAGTAGATTAGCACTCAGTTAAAATTTGTTAAAAAGGAGTTGAATTTAGTGGATGCATGATAAGAAAGCATTATTATGAGCATTTACGTATCACCTTATTTAATCCCCACACATAATCTGTTAGGGGAGGTAGATTCAGATTGGGAGTGAGAAGAAAGAAAAAGGTTTTGAATGAGTGAAGCCGGTTGCACAGGAGTCCCTCGTGAAACAGGCTTAGTCTTCACTAAGCTTAGTGGCACAGCTCAAGTGAACATTGTCATGGATGATACTTACATCACAATCCCTTTCTTTCTTCCTGCCCCTCAAAGTGCTTGAATCCATTTTTAGCTTCTCCAAGGAAACAATACAAGTTCTCCTTTTTCTTATTTGATAGAGAAACAAAACCTAAGCACAATAGGGGTATGGGGCGAATACTCTCAGGATATATTTAGATTTTGAATTAATAGCATCTTTTTATAACAAAAGAATGGCAAAAATAAGGCAGTGTTTGTCATGACTGCTGCCCTTTTCCACTTGTCCTCCTCCCCCTTCCAATATGAAATGCTAAAACTTCCTTCGGTTTTGTTTTTATTTTTAAATGGGGATATAGAATCTTAAGTATCTTGTACTAGCATTAGATCCCCCAGTTGCTTGCTATGTGGTGATAATTCCTTTAGGTAGCTCTCATGCTGGCGGCCATAAGTATAACTTGTATCACTTATATTTGCCTCAATATGCTCGATCTTTACCCTTTAGTACCTTCAACAAAAGAAGTATTAACAAAGTTTTTTTTATGTTTTAAAATATTTATTTTGTTTTTGTTCTGTTCCAAAAGAGAAACTGTGAGATGAGCCTGATCGTTAAGTGCACACAAAACAAATACTATTACTTTCTCTCTCTAGCTGCTGTTGGAATTTCATTTTCCAAGATGTGCTATTTGTAGTTTGCCACATTAATCAGTCTGCATTTTCTCACAGGCTAGTTGATAGATGCAAGTTAAGTTTTATGCATTACCTGTCTGCTGGAATTTTAACAATTTTTTGTGTATCCCATATGTCTAATGCAAACTAATTGATAGTTGATAAACCTGGTTATCACTGTATTCATGAGCACAGTAACAAGAGACCTGGCCAAAGATTAAGGAATAGGACCAGGGAGGAGGAGGCGGTGGAGGAGTGTTCACATTTGGGAGGAACTTTATATAATCCCCTGATTTAATCAAAGTCATTTATGAGCTTCTTCTCCCCTAGTTATCAGGGAATATGAAAAGCAGAGAAAGCATCCAGGAACCTAGATTTGATTATTACAACCATGAAGTTCCTGATATTGACCTCAGTGATTGTGAATTCCCACATGTCATTGAAATTTATGACTTCCCTCAAGAATTTCGCACCGAAGACCTTCTACAGGTTTTCTGCAGCTATCAGTAAGTATTTGCTGATGGTTGTGGGCATTAAGGAATGTGGGTTGACATTTTCTTGAAGTGTCTTCTCAAATAATACCTGGTCCTTTTTGTTTTGTTCCCCGTGTCTTCTAAAATGATATCTGTTCCTTTTTGTTTTGTTTCATATTCCCTGTTTGTTTTGGTATCGGATTTCTTGGTTACCTTCAAGTCTGATAAAATCTGTATCAAATCACTCTTCTAAGTTTCTTTAAAATGCCATATAATTTCTTAGATTCCATTTCAGATTTAAGAAGAATATTAAGAGTGATGACAACTGAATCTGCCTTCAAGGGGGCACTTAGCTCATTTACATTTATTGTAATTATTGATATATTTGGCTTTTGAATTGATTAGATTTCTCTCTTTTTGTTGTTGCAGTTTATACTCTTTCTATTCTTTGGCAGTTACTTTAGAAATTAAAAAATGTATGCATAACTTATTAGTGACTAAAGCAAATGTTTTTATATTCTCCAAACCTGTAAGGGCTTTTAATTTCATTCCCTACTACGCCCTGCTTTATTTGCAATTGATCATTTTCCCTTTAAAAATCTATTTCATGATTTACTATTTCCTTTGTTCCTCATTTATTCCTTCTGATATCACATATCTTCTGTCTGAAATCTTCCTCTTGCACAGGGCATATTCTTGAGCATTTACTGTACTAAGAGTTTCTTGATAACAAACTTCTAATTTTAGAAAATATTTTAAATGACATTATTTTACCTTTATTCTTGAAAGAGCTTTTGGCTTGATCCGAAGGTCTTAACTTAGCAATCTTTTTTTTCTCTCTCGTAACCTTGAAGATATTTTACTGTTTCCTGGCTTTCTCTGTGGATGATGACAAATCATTTGAAAGTCTAGCAACTCTCATTTCTGAATGTAATCTGCCTTTTCTCATAGGATGCTCTTAACAATTTCTGCTTACCTTTGGTATTCTGCATTTCCACTGAGCTGTAGACTTCATGGTTTCTTTTTATTTTTCTGCTTGAGATTATTTGGGTTTCTTAAATTACTGGGTTAGTATTTTTCACTGAGTCTAGAAAGTTCAGAAACTGTCTTGTCAAATATGGCCTCTGTCTCAATCTCTTTCACCTCCTCTAAGGTGCTTGTTTAGAAATATATTAGATCTTCCTAACCCATTACTTCCTTTTCCTAGTTCTAATTTTTTACTTCACTGCTCTAAATTCTGAATAATTATTTTAGTTATGTATTATTCTTATAAATCTGTCCATTGAGTTTTAATATGTTTTACTTTATTATGGGTTTAATTAGTTTCCTGTGTAAATAGGGATCCTAGTTTTTAACCTAGCATATTGCTAGAAATGTCATATTACTAAGCTCATAATCTCACTAACCTTGCCCGTGTTCTTATTTGTTATAATTATCACCATCCTCTTTTTAATTGCCCTAATCTGAAACGCTAACACCTTCTTTTACTTTGCCCTATCCCGTTCTCAAGTCTTCTTCGTTCTCCTCCTCTTTCTATTGGTTCTGTTTCCATAAAGTCTTTTGTATTTGCCATCTCAGCTGCTGCACTGATTCAGAATTCCTTTCTTCTCTTAGACTTCATTCCAGGCTCTCCACTTCCAGAGCATCTTAAATATTCCTCTTAGTTTAATCTTTCTGAGGCAGACCTTTCATCGTGTCACGCTCTTGCTCCAGAACTAGCCAGAGGATGGCCTGCAGTCTCAGCCTCACATGCTCTTCATCCATGCGCAGTTTCTGCTTGACTGTTGGCTAGTTTTCTGTTCTTTGTGCAGGACCTTATCTTTCTCTGCCTTTGATGGTGACCTGCATTTGAGCTTGCTGCTTTCCATCTCACTGCTTCAATCTCATCTCGCAATGTTCTCATAAACATATCTCATTTTTTCAAGACCAAACAAAAACAAAATGTTTAAGGTCTTGACTTCCTCCTTCAGTGGACTCTATACCGCTTATTTTTATCTTTCCTGTGACAATTTTTATTTTGTGTTTTGTAGTTCTTTATAAATAGTTTGTATCTTCCGATTGACACATACTCATAGAGAACAGAGTCTGTCTGAGGCTTTGTATGTCATATAGAGACTCTCAGTGAAATGGAATGTATTTTCCCACCGTCACCCACTTGTTTAAGACTTGTTTTTCACCTTTCCTTCTTCAAGGGACACTATGAGGTTGGATACTAAGATTCCTTGTTGAATTATATTCTGTTGATGTGGGTAGATAGGGATAGCTTACAAACCTACTTGAAATTCTGGTATTAGCAATGGAAAAATCATTCTCTCTTCATAGGAGTGTGAAACACACAGAAATTGACCTAAGTTTTAAGGTGTCCAGGAAGGAATAAGCTTTCTGAAACTCATTAATGGTCTCTATATTTCAGGCACATGACTGTGCCTTTACTTGAATCTCTATGAAATCACATTGAATAATAATTGTAGTGACATGTTGAGTTTGTGTTATTTTTTCTTAGAGCTGGCGAATTTATCAGATTTGATTAGGACCAATGATATTTGATTGGTTAATGGAAATGGTCAATTGGGGAATGATTTAAAAATAATAATTGACATACCTCTTAATACTTTATTTTAATTAAAACCATGTATTTTCAAATACTAGTCTTTTGTTAGGTATCAAGGTCTTTTAAAAAGGTACTAGTCTGTGGTACAGATAAGAGCGCTCGACACACAGAATCCAGGACAGGCAGAAAATCTCCTCAGGACCAATAATGAGAGTAGCAATACCATGCAGGTAGGAGGAAGGTGGGGGGGAGAAGAGAGGGCAAGAGGGAACTGATCGCAATGAGTCACATAACCCCACCCCCACCCCAGGAGGACGAACAACAGAAACATGGGTGAAGGGAGACAGTGGATGGTGCAAAATATGAAAATAAAAATAATTTATAAATTATCAAGGGTTTATGGGGGTTGGGGGGAAGAGGGGCTGACACCAAGGACTCAAGTAGAAAGAAAATATTTTGGAAAAGATGACAACATATGTACAAGTGTGCTTGATATAATTGATGCATAGATTGTTATAAGAGCTGTAAGAATCCCCAATAAAATGATTTATTAAAATTTTAAAAATACATATATTTTTAAATTTAAAAAAATGTATATATTTTAATAAAAATATTTTTAATTTAAAAAGTTACTAGTCTGTTTACACTGTCTGATGTCTCCCTTCACCCACTTTTCTGTGAAGGGAGACGTCAGACAGTGTAAGACACAACAAAATAATCATTTATAAATTTTCAAGGGTTTGAGGGGAGGGTGTCTAGGGAGGAAAGGGAAAAAGTTGGAGCTGATACCAAGGGCTCAAATAGAAAGAAAGTGTTTTGAGAATGATGATGGCAACAAATGTACAAACGTGCTTGACACGATGGGTGGATTGTGGTAAGAGTTGTACGAGCCCCAATAAAATGATTTTTAAAAGAAAAAAAAGTTACTGATCTGTCAGTACAAGAATCCGTATAACTCACCTCATATTATGTGGCTTAACTCTTCCTTGGTAATTTTGGTATCTTCTGAGTACAAATTCCATATAGTAGGTTGAAATGTTGGTTTAGTCCAAACATAGTTGAAAATAGTTTAGGGTTTTGTTTTGTGTTGAAGTAACTTCACCTTTTCCTAGTAAAAAAATTCAATTAAGTTTTCTTATATATTACTCTTCTTGTTTACATTGGTTTATCAAGTTGGTAAAAAAACAAACAACACTTCTGTTAAATTATCTGTTCGGGATTATCAGGTCTATCTACTCGAGAAAGGTAAGTAAAAGAAATCCATTTCTGTAACTCAAACATGAAAGAAAACTTTAGGCTTCAGGAATAGAGAGAGGGGTAAGTCAAACTCAAAAGGGCGTATACGTTAGTGCTTCGATCCTGGTAATAAAAATGAAAAAGTCTATTGTTTAATACTGTAAATTTAAGTTAAATATTCAGTTTATTTAATATCTTGAATTTGTGAGATTTTGTTTCAATTAGGGTAATGACCCTAACTTTTTCTAAGAGGGTGATCGTTCACTACCATCAAGTTCCAACTCATCGTTCCAGCCCTGTAACAGCAAAACAAAACATCACTCGGTCCTGCGCCACCCTCACAAATTTTGTTATGCTTGAGCCCCTTGTTACAGCCACCATGTCAGTCTGTCTCATCAAGGGTCTTCCTATTTTCCTCTGCCCTTCTACTTTAGCAAACGTGATGTCATTTCCCAGGGACTGGTCTCTCTGGAGGACATGTGCAGAGTACCTGAGGCGCAGTCGTGGAGGGTTGGCTAAGTCAATGTTTTAGGCGGCTCTGCCCTCCTTGCACAGAAGCACTCGGAAACAAATGGGTGAAGCTGTATGCCGGCGGAATAGGCTGCCTGTTTTTGTGTGTGAAGTTCTAGGACAAGCAGAACTAGCCAGCAGCTGTGCATTCCGCTGAAGCTTCTTAGGTGGACCATTGGTTCTAAAAACTGATGGAAAGGAGTGAATGGACCAGTGAGGCAGTTAAAAATCTCTACCGTAGACCTCACTCTAAATAGACGTCAGTCAGTCTAACACATTTCAGTTGTGTTACAATCCAGTATCAGGGCCTGTTGCATATAAAATGCATTAAACTACCTTAGATTGTCTTTAATAAATATAATTGTTAAGAGCAACTGTCAGTTTTACTAAGGTCCAGAATATCCTGGAGATTTTTATTACTGTTACTAAGTGCCATTGAGTTGGGTTTTGAGTCTCTACGGACCCTATGTACAGCAGAATGAAACATAACTTCTTATGCATCTTCCCAACTCTCAAAATTGTTAAGTTTGAACACGCCACTATGCCAATTGATTTCATTGAGGACGATTTGCTTGTTCTGATAAATTAAGAACTTTCCTTAGCTTTGTTTTTTCCTAATCCCACTTGCAAGATCATTTTTAAAAATCACTACCAAAAGATAAAACATTTTAAAGAATTCTGAGATCTCTAAGTCCTCCAGAGCCCATCTAGGTTTGTTCCTGTCCTTTTTGTAAAGCTCTAGTATTATATAGACCATTGAATTTTTTCAAGGCTTCCAATTCCTGTGATCATTTTATACCATGACAAGCTTACCTTTCCATCAGGACATTTTCTAGCCTTCGGTGCCTCCTTTATACATTTTTTCCTCAAAGTAATTTTTTCTTGACTAGTTGTTAAACAGAGAAGGTACTTTAGTAGATCTCCCCCCCCTTTTTTTTCTTTTATATTGATTTATTAATCATCAAGTCATAATGCAAAAGTATAAATGAGACCTGTGAGTTGAACACCTAAGTCTACTTCATGTTTTAATCACCATCTTCATCAAGACTATTCTTCCAGATGAATATTGCTATAAATAATAAAAATAATGAGTATCATTTATTATATACATTAAGGGATTGACATGGTTCTTTGCTTTGTCGTGATTGATCTCATTTACATTTCACAACAACCCTATGAAGAAGATACTTTGTCTATTTCTGCAGATTACCAGATAGGTTCAGCCTGCCTCTGGTCTTAAGGTAACAGAACTGGGACATGAGTTCATTCTGATCTTACCCTCAAATGTGTGTTCTTGCCCTGCACTATATTGAGTCCGTGAGCATTTTTAGGCTTCTAGCTGAAGAAACAACAATCGTGGCTTTGTCCTGATACTCTTTGTGATCACTACATACCTATGCCATGAAATAAAAGATGGCGTTTTTTTTTTGTTTTTTATTCTTAAATGTTCGCTGTTTTCTTTACAATCTTCTCTGTTTATTTGATCCCCTTCCTCCCTACCCTCGCTATTTTCTCATACCTCCCCACCCCATTTTCAGTTTATACTTGTTTTTTTCCTCATTACTTGACTGTTTGTTTGATTTGAAATCTTGCTTTCTCTGTCTGTCTTTCTGTCTCTCTGTCCATGCGCCTGCATTTGTATTAACGCCAAGTGACTTTCCCTGTCTATTGCTTCCTCTAATATTCCTCTACCCCTCCTCCACTTCCTCTTTACACTTTTTCTTGTTCCCTGACCATAAGAATATCTCTTATACATAGTGCATTAAATACTTTACCTCCCCAAGGGACTTGTAAGGATTAATTAGTTGATGTCTATAAAATGTCTGGGAACGTAAAATACTCCTGGGAAGTTCTTTATGATTGTATTATTGCTTTTAAAATTCAGTGGCTTCTTCTGTCCTCCAAGCTGGTTTTTTGTGTGTCATTATCACCATTCCACCTGTGCACTCTGAGTGTTCCTATCTCATCATGAAATGCTTTATGAGCTCTATTTGAGAGAGGTTTCATATAAGTAAATTTTATTTTAAGAAATAAAATTGTTTTCTTTTGTTGCAGAAAGAAAGGATTTGATATTAAATGGGTGGATGATACACATGCTCTAGGAATATTCTCCAGTCCAATTACAGGTATTCATGCTTCTTTCTTATTGCTCATTTTTTCCAGCTCTGTATTTTCTGTTCCTGCCAGCTGACATGTTATTCAGCCAGTATAGGCAGTTAAGCAGATGCAATTTTTGTGGAAGCCCACAGGAGGTTGCTATGAGTAAGCATTGACTCGAATGGCATTGAGCTGTCTGGTGCTGTGGTACTTATGTGTTTCACCCCTCCCTTCTCACCTTAATTGGGTGGTGTTTGGATGGATAGTCAACTCTTTTCAAGGTTATTTGTACTACTGCATACAGAAAGAAAGAATAGAGGTTTAAGGAATGACTGGAACTGAATTTTACAATATTTATAAACAAATGATTTGAAATAGCCCTTTAACCTGTCCAGTAAGAGATTATAATAACTACTCTCTGAATATATGATCGGGCCTTTTCATTTGTGTCACCGGCCTCATAACGAAGCTTATGCAAAAGCATTCAAATAAGTTAGAGCTGTTGGTTCCTGTCTGAGCCATCCAATATGAGTTGGCAAACTTTTTCTGTACAAGCCACATAGAGTAATACTAGGATTTGTGGGCCCAAAGGCCAAGGTCTCTGTCACAACTACTTGAAAGCAGCCATAGACAATACGCCAACTAATGGTTGGGACTTGCATTCAAACCATATGAAAGCATTTGACTGGCTGAGCTTGGTCAGAGAGCCATAGTCTGCTGAACCCTCGTCTAAAATAAGCACTGCCAAGTTGTCCCTTCATGGATTTTCAGAAGTGTACCATGTCTTTTATTTGTCATGAAAACAGAAAAGCCTCTAACTTTTAGGAAGTACTTTTTATGAGACAGCCCTGATTTTTTCTTTAAATCCATCCACTTCATGTCTGCTTCTTCTTCGTGCTTATTCCTCATTTCAGCTCGGGATGCTCTGGGTAGTAAACATACCATGGTGAAGATCCGGCCCCTGTCACAGGCCACTCCAGCAGCCAAGGCCAAAGCCAGAGCTTGTGCTGGTGAGTCTTATCTCTTAAGGGGTGAGGGTGGTTCTTGTTGATGATTTTTCCAACAGTTACACAGCATCCAGAGTTCTAAAGACATATCACCATGCTCAGTTATTGAAGGAAGTATGTTTTTATCAAAACCACAAGGGAGAAAAAGAAAAGGCAAGTGTAGTAAAGTTGTTTTCATGTCATGTTGGATATGGGCATCTGAGCAGCCACTTAGAGAGTGGGAGGTCCAGGTCTACCTGCAGGCAATATAGCAACCAGTTTCTGAGGGCCTTTCTCCCCTCCTTATGCCAGTGATGAGTGCTAGTTTTATGGGGAGTTGTGTTGAGCTATGTGATAGTGTTCCTGTAAGAAGCTGTGTACATGCATATAATGAAGCCAGGCTTTTATTAATTACTGCTGATGCAGCCCTTGTTAGTGTTTCCTGTATGTTAATTACTGAGTTAAATCACTCGGAGCCAGAATGCTTTCTGGTCCTTACTCCCTCCTACTTTACTCCCTTTCTGTGTTCAGAATTCCTCCAGCCAGCAAAGGAGCGTCCTGAGACTTCAGCAGCCCTAGCCAGAAGGTTAGTCATCAGTGCCCTTGGGGTTCGAAGTAAACAGAGTAAAACGGAACGTGAAGCAGAGCTCAAGAAACTGCAGGAAGCTCGAGGTGAGTTGAAGGGATTGCCTTCTGTAGCCCCTAAGGCAGGTGTGGGCAAAAGGGAATGACGCCTGCGCCATTTTGTTGTTTCCCTTTCCTAGAAGCCTTTCAAGTGTCTGGACATAGTTTTCACGCCTTGTGTGCAGGAGGAAGACATGTCAGGATGTGACTGTGTGTTCACATACCATGGCACCCTAATCCATGCTCTTCCTGTTGTTTTTCTCGCATTTTCCGTGGCTTTTTCTGTAGTTGTGCTACCAATTCTGAAACGTAAGACCTGTAAAGAGCTAATAGGCTGTTAGGCAGAAACCATTATTTGTCGTGCTTTTAGTGGGCCATGATATCACATGATTTAGATTAGAGACAGAAGACAAGCCAGCAACTGGCATTTTGGTGTTGATAATTATGGGGAGATTTTGGGTTGTTTTCTTTTAAGACACTCCTGTGTGGTTCCATTAGAGGACATCTATATTTACCCATCTTCTGATTACTTACCAGAACTTAAGAGTTCCCAGAAAATGTTCCCACTGATCCACAAGGAGAATTTTTCTTTCTCTTGAGTTGAAGTTGAAATCTCTCTCTCTCCTTTATAGGCTGTTGACTTTTATGTCAAGGCTTGGGGCTTGGGCTTGGCACTTAGGTACTTTATATCAACCATCAGCCTTTAGACAGTCTCATTGCCTTAGCCCATGATCTGTGGAATGTATGAGGGCAATTTAATCTGAAAATTCCACTTCCTGAAAAGTAACTTCATTTTTCCTTTAAACGAATTGAAGTTTTAAACTCCTTGTTTACTGCCAGTCTAACAAGGCCATTAATACTTGCTGTCCGCTCTGCTTTGGTGATAGCAGGCAACCTGGGGACTCTCAGCTGCACTGACCAGATAACCAGTAACAGAATGTGTCATGGCAGGTGCTGGAATTTCAGAGTTGAGCCAAACTAATTTTTGAACACTTAACGATTATAATGAGGCAGTTTTGGCTTTTTAGTGCATTGTTCATTTAAGAACCTCTTAACACTGTAGAAACATACAATTCCTTTGGTTTTAATAGATTTCAGTAGCAGAACTAGATTATAGGAAAATGTGTCATGTCCTTAACTCTATATTCACTGATTATCTCTGAGGAAAATAATTTCTCTGGGATAAGCGCAATTATCTTAAAAGCTCAACAGAGAGTAAATAACAGTGGTATCAGTAAAAGGAGAGGTGACACCTTTTGAGGTGCAGCAGGTTTCCCCAGTGGGCGTCATATCACAGTGTTAACTGGGCACTATAGCCACTCTTTGCCATGAGTATCTTCTGAGTATTCGCCTGTTTCTCTGTAGGACATCAACATGCAGCTCCACATGCAGTCTTTGTTTTAAATGCCCAGCTAAACCAAGGACATTCCAGTGATGCAATGAAAAAACCAGATTGTTGGCTAAGGGGTTACTCTATTACTAGCTTTTTAAAAGAAGGCCTTTATTTCTGAATAGGGAACTGACTTTGATAAGCGCTTTCTATCCAGCAGTGCTGAGGCGGTGCAGATTCTGAAGGATTCTTCCTTTATTAAACCTCAGAGCTCACCCATTCTTTATAGCTGAGAGAATGTGTATGGAAAAATTCCTGATCTATGTCTTTCTGGCTTCTTTCTGTATTGAGCAGATACTCTTGTACTGGCCTATATGAAGCCCAATGTTTCTCTCACTTCAAGATTCTTTTCATATTGAAGTTAAAAATAGTAGGTTGGTATTAAACAGAACAAATATTTTTGTTCCAAATATTTTCTTCTTCCACTGGAGGGGGGAGGGGTCAGTACAGCATAGTGAACAGCAATGTTGTTAGGTGTCAGCAAATCATTTCCAACTCACAGTGATTCTAGTACAATGTGACCACTTCCTACCTGTCCTGTACCATCCTTCAAATTGTTGTTATGTTTGAGCCCCTTGTTGCAGTCACTGTAATTACATTTTAGGTTGCATAATCATATTACCAAGGTCTAGACCTTAACTTCACAACTTACTGGCTCTGTGATTTTGCGCAAATCACTTTCCTCCCCAGACCTCTGTTACCTTATCTATATATGGGAATCAAATGAGAATGATGCAGGAGAGCTATGTAGCCACTCTCAGAAACCACTGATGAGTATCTAGTGAGTCCACAAATTCTAGTGCATAATTTTTGTTATTACTCTTTTTGTTTCAAAATCTATGTCAGTCGTCTCTCAGCTGAATCTGCTATTCGCCAAGCGCCTGCTCTGTGTAAAGCATTATGTTCCCTTCCTGATTAGAGAAGCAGCAAGATTTCTTTTCCTCTCCTTAAGGCTTTTAATTTTAGTAGGGATGGTTCTTTTGCGTAGGGAAGAATATACAAACTTCCCTCAGGTATTTTAAGTAACTGGTTCCCCTCTTTTCAGTTCTAAAGATTTCCAGATTGTTTGAAAGTCATAGAAACATTGACTACAGGGACTAGAAGGAAGTGACATTTATGGGGCACATCATTTGTGCCCAGGAAGTGTAACGTGTTATGGTGATGTTGTGTTCTGCTGGTATCGTGCTATGATAATGGTATGGTCTCCAGTTTAGTGCAGGTCCAGAGACGTTAAGTAACTGCCCTAAGGTCACACAGCTGGAAAAGTGAAATCGGCATTTGAACTCAGATATCTCTAATTAAAAGCTCTGTTCCTCCTTTAATACCATAATCCGTTCAGAAAGACTTTAAAGAGTAATGGTATGTTTTTCCATAGGTGGGAAAAGTTACAAAGCTGTTTTAGATTTCAGGAAGAAACCTGACAGGCATTCTTGTTAGTTACCTGTCTCACTGTTTAGCACCATTCACTTTCAAAAAATTCTTCTTAGATGTAACTTAAATCTTCAAGATAGTTTAAACCAGTTCCTCTTCTTTTTTCCTCTGTAGATACAGAGAACATCTGGATACCATTCTGTTCTAATAGCTCTTAACTGTAACGATCAAGGGATGATCATTTAGGAATGAGAGAATCTGGGCTTTAATAGTTTTTGCCATTAGCTCATTAACTAGCTGTGTGGCCATGGACAAATCACTTGTATATTTCTTGGTGCCCCAGTTTTCCACAAAGTAACAATAATGCTTGACCTACCTAACTAAAAAATGTTGTGAGCACAACATAAGTTAGCATCTGTAAAAATGTTTAAAGAGGTAATTTACAAGTTGAAGGTACTGTTATATGATTGTTAAGAAGTTAGCGTTTGTTATGAGATTGTAAACCAGTGATGACAAATTTCTACTGTCTTTAGGCTTACTGTGAGTCAGAATTGATTGAATGGCAGTGAGTGAGAGCTATTCCTGCATTCACTACCATAGCAGGCTTAGTTTTGACATGATCATTGTAAAGTGACCAGAATTAGCATGGGAAATAAAGCATACCTGCTACAGAAATCACTGCCATAAAGTTGATTCTGTCTCAGAGCAACCCTATATAGGGTTTCTGAGACTGTAGATTTTTAAGGGGGCCAGAAAGACCCACTTTTCTCCCTTGGAGATGCTGGTTGATGTGAACCCTAGACCTGGTGTGTGGTTAGCAGGCCAGCACTTACCAGGCAGTAGTACCACTAGAGCTCCTAATCCTACCACAAGTACTTTTATTAATATTCTAGTCATCTTCTAGACTCTTTTCCTCCCATTTAAAGAAGTATCATTCCTGGCACTGTGCCTGGTGCATTAAAATGTATTCAATGCATGTTCACTGAGTGACTGCGTGGATGATATGGTTACTTTAACTTTCCTGCATAATTCTTATTTCATCACCCATTGATTTCATTCATGGCTGTATGGGTCTGCCATGTCTTTCTTTATAAAGCATAGAGAATTAAGCAGTACATATGAAACCCTCCTGATTCTTGAATTTGGAATTTGCAACTTTGCTTTTTAAATACTTCTGTGCTAGGTGACTCCAGTCTTTGATCTTCTTACCTTTAATGAGAAGTCTAAGGAAATGAGAAACTAAGGACACCCTGAGAAGTGGGAAAAAGAAAGTATCCAAATAGTATTAAAGAATGTACTTATATCTGTGGAGAAAGAGAGCTTTAGGACCTAACCCTTGTGTATCAGGAAACCCTAAACCAAACTCAGTGCCAGGGAGTCGGTGCCAGTAGGACTGCCCTTTAAGTTTCTGAGATGAAACTTAAATAGAAATTCCCATTTTTCTCTCTAACAGCTGGTGGCTTCGAACAGCTTACCTTGCAGATTGCAACTCAATGTGTAACCAGTATACCACCAGGGCACCTTGTATATCAGGAAAGTCTCTTTAAATTCAGCAGTGTTCCATAACAGATCCCAGCTGTTTTGAGTCAGGATGAAAGCATAGACCATTTGTGTGTGCTTTCATTTGACTCAACTGTTTGTTTTATATCAGCGATTCACATTAAAGGATAAAATCATATCTGAAAGACCATACTCTGTGTTTGGATTGCATCATATGCCCTAAAGATACATAGTGTAACTCTTAGCCTCTGCCTGTGGTTACCACTTGTTTGTCAGTTTGTTATACTGTGGTGGCTTGTGAATTGCAGTGATGCTAGAAGCTATGCCTCTAGTATTTCAAATGCCAACAGGGTCACCCAAAGTGAGCAGATTTCAGCAGTTTCCAGACTAAGGACAGACAATGAAAAAGGAATCGGCTGACCACTTCTGAGGAAGTAGCCGCTAAAAATCTTATGCACAGCTTCAAAACATTGTGAGATACTGAAAGCCTGCTGAATGGAAGCAGACATTATTGGAGATAGTGTCAGAAAATAGACCCCTTAGATCAGAAGGCATTCAAAATGTGACTGAGGAGGAGCTGCTTTCTCGGAATGGGAATCGACCGTGTTGGTGTGAAGGCAGTAAAGCATGTTGGAGTGGAGCCTTCAGGATCTTCATTTGCTGATGGGGCATGGCTCAGGGTAGGAAGAAACAGCTGCAAAAATCTAATAATGGAACTTGAAATATATGAAATATGAATCTAGGAAAATTAGAAGTGGTGAAAAATGAAAGGGAACCCATAAAGATT